CTCTCTCAGTCAGTAACACTAAAAAACGCACACAAGTATATATATGGTTTAATGTGAATGATTATTGTGTTTAGTATCATTTTAAATGTCCCAGAGTGAGTGGTTCAGATGTCTCATTCCAAAAGAGTAAAACAAAAGGTAATAAGGTTTTTTTTAGTAGTTTAGGGATATCTGGCACACAAATGAATGTGGTCTCCTACTCCCAGAAGGTGTGAACTCAATGCTAATTTCCACTGTTAGCAAATGGTACCATGTAAATCAACTTCTGCCCCCAGTAAGTCTGGGAGGGTGAACAGTAAATTTCCACTGTGAACACAGGTTTACATATGAAATGAGGTCTGGCTATTTAATGGAATGCAGCAAGGGATCGTGGCTTTTTTCTGTATCTCAGATCAGCCCGTGAGGTTAGCTCATGTAGTTCTTAAATGTTGGGTTTGCATCTATTTCTCTTATCAGAGCATTTGATGTCTTGTATTGATGATATTTGAACTGATTATGAAATTGGCATAATACTTTTACCTGACATAATAAATTGTTATATTTGATTATTCTAACAGACTTTGACTTTATTTTCATTGGAGTTAAAAGGAATAGTCAAACATTAACATATATTTAATGATGCACAGATATCATTGAAAAACTTTCATTTTATGGAGTCAGATGAAACGAGTTAATACATAAGATAAAATGTATTGTATTTAATTAAAAATCCCTTTGCCATGATGGGAAAAGACGGAACACTGCGTGATACCTTCACCTCTAATCGATGCCGCCATTGGATCGAATTAGACGGACCTACACCAGCTACCCGACAGGGACACCCATCCTTGTGTGCACACTTGCCACACAAGCAGGAGATGGCAAACCTTCAGGTTTTGAGATTACAATCTCAGGGACTAAAAAACTGCCCTTTCTTACAAAACCATAAGTATCTGCATTTAAGATCGAGGTGGCGTCTGTAAATGGTGCTTGGACCTAAAGCTGCTGTTGATAATAGGCTCGTTGTATATGTTTTCTTGCATTAGTTGAGGTGGGGGGTATCTGGACCTTTTTTATCGGGGACACAACTTCAGCAGCTTAGTCCCAAATTGTGATTTGGCACTCTTCCTCAAGTAACCATCTTTGTCAACCAAGAAGAATGCAGAGTTGGTGATCTCATGCTGGAGTAGCTCCTCAACTGTGAACCCCCGGTGACACTCATACTCAATAAACATGAGAGCTTTGATTGTCTCATCTTTGATGTCTGCTTTGGAAGCCAAATTCAAGGTCGTCTTTGGCAAAGTAAACTTGACTTTACTAATTTTTGAGTGTATCGATATCGACTTATTTCTGAGTCGATCATCGATAAATATAGCACAAGCAGCACTGCCCTCTGTGATACAGCACGTCTACATTTACGTTGGTCACAATTTCTCCAGTGAGAGTATTTAAATACACAAAATTACAACTCATATGATAATGACACGTAATAAGTGTACACGCCAACGCAAAGAATAAAGAGTAGATTTTCTTATTTATTTTGATCTCAAGTTATCTTGCTTGACAGCCATGTGCTCTGCTATGACCTCAGGTCACTATGGCTACCAAGTAAACTTTTGTCAAAAAAAAAGTTGGAGTTGATGACATGATGACAGCAATATTTCGAATAGGTAGGAAATGTAAGTTTTAAAGTTTAGGTTAATAAATAACTGGCAATTCCTGTATGTTGGTAGTTGTATATAATAGGTTGACTGTTTTTTAGCCATTTTCTTTATATCAAATCAGAATGCTTACACTCTTCTATGACCTTATAACCATGGTCATTGTGATCACCTCAGAAAATATGTAGCTTCAAGGGTTTATATGTATGCATATTTAATGAGATATTGCCTCATTTGCATATTTTAGACAAAGTGTAATACAAAAAGTATTTATCTTAATATGAAGATAAATCTGGTAGAAATGTATGAGAATATCTATAAAGGGAAGAAAAAGTCCTATTCACCTGTAGTGTGATAATAGTGTCCCGTTGTGGTCATTTTCAGGACTTTCGTCCCGGGTAGAGATTTTGGCACACATCCCACGTTGTTCAATGGGGTAATATTATTCTATAACAGTTGAGATATTCTCCGCTAAATGAAGTGCATACAAATCTTACCCAGGACCTCTACTAAACATGGCGCATGTAATACATCCCGATTATATTCATACTACACAGATTCATACTATATAGAATTTTTTTTTTTAGCATTCGCCAAGTAAGTACTCATTCAAAATAAGTGCCTACTCAAGAGAGTATGCGGTTTCGGATGCAGCCAGAGTGTGAATCAGTTTAAAGATCATATCATACAAGATTAATTACAAGGTCATTTGAATGGTCTGAGCCATAGCCTTGTGGGCAGTGCTCCAACATTTAGCACAACCTCACTCCCCTGGCATCAAGAGGCGTGCTATAGCGACTGACGCTAGAGGCTGTGGTATTTAGCTTCCTTGTCAGCTCCCACGCCGGAGATGCCAGTACAAGTCCTGATCGGATTAGCACTGGTTACATTTGGTGCCGTGACCCGGATGGGAGTGAGGTTTAGGGGAGTGAGTGTAATGGATGTAAGCCAGTAAGAACTGTGCGTGTAAACCTCACTCTCCTGATCTCAAGAGGCCTCCCACATTAGAGACCCCGGTTCGAGTTCCGCACGGAGCGGGTCAAGGACCAGTTGCACTAGTAAATTTGACAAATAATTACATTTTGAAAAAGACTGAAATAGACATTTTCTTGTAAAAAAAAAGCTTCAATAATCAGTAACAAGCTTCAGTCTTGTAGTGTAGACTTATATATTATATATATAATAATACACATTGCAGAGTTGTGATTGACTGTTGACAGATGGGGCTAAATTGATCATTTCGTGAGCTTCACTCCTCAACTTGCATAAGCAATCGTTTAAGCTCTTGAACTATTGAATTTCCCCACATATCCTTCTATTTATTTTTCTAGTCTCCTCTCCACAGCATGTATTCATTGCTTTGTTTTCCCAGAGCTGCTCTCAGCTCCATCTTACAGGCACCTATTGATCTGGATCTTACTATGATTAGAAATCTGGACCATGCAGGCTGCCTACACAAAGCTCCAAAATTACCTGTGTGTGTGGGAGCACAGATGAGGCGGCAGACTGCCAAAGAGATACAAAAACTCACAGATTGTGAAAGAACATATAGGCTGTGTGTTTATTATTGCAGTTGTTCGGATGGATGGTCGGTTTCGGGGACGCTTTCAGTTCTTTGTTGGATCCTCAACACTCCTATATCTACAAAATGTACAGTCACAAGCAAACACTAAAAATACACATGCTTGAAAACTAGCAAATGCAAATGAGGCAAAACAGAAACCGGGGTGCTATTTTTCCTGAGCCGGCTGCACAACTGGACAATGGTGCACACGTTAAAGTATTACAAATGTTAATTGTAGCATGCATTACCTTTGTTCATTTTCTCATGTGTTGGTTTTAAATGTACCCTGAACTGAACAAGTAATTATGCTTCAATTAAGCTGGCAGTAAAGCTTGTTAATTGGTGCCACAACATGAGCCGAGATTTCATTGCCGGAGGCTCTTTTGCATGTATTTAACAGACAAAGAAACAGTCAGCAGCAAATTCTTTTGCACACAGGGTCTCCAATTTCTATGGAAAAAGTGTGTTGTACATGCAGCGATGGACGGTTCAGGCAGAGATGACAACGGCAATGCCATTAATAATGGGTTTCTGTGTGTGGTAGTTAACAGCCTCTTAGCTGTTGCTCGATGGACCACGAGTAGTTGGTGAGAACATAATTACATATCAGAGTGATTTGTTTCCTCATGGGTTAAAACATGTGTTAGTGACTATAAGAGTGAACTATAAATAGTTATTCTGTTTGAAAATATTCACATTGTAATGAGAGAACTGTGAGCTATAGTTATTTCTAGCATATGGGGTTTGTGTAATTTCATTTGAAAGGTTTCAGGAACAAAAAATCCAGATATTTTATTTAATTTTAGTTCATTATAAGCCTACTTGTCCACACACTTGACAATCTTTATATCTTTGCATTCATGTTGGTTTCATACATTAAAATCAAAAGTATAATTGTCAACATAAATCTTGATTTAATGACTTTTAGTAAAAAGGTCAAATGGTGTAACTGTCAAGAAAAAACGACTCAAATACTTTCCTTGAATATAAATGTACTCAAATACTGCACCTTGAATACAGAATGTAAACGTAACGTAATCATTAATGATTATTTTCAATAAATTTAAAAAAATATTTGTAATCTGTTTGATTTATACAAAGCATGTTAGTTAATAAAAAAATGTCAAAATAAGATTATTTGTTTACTTTTTAAAACTTCATTTAACCCTGGCAGAAGTTTGGAGGTCTAAAGGGGTGATTTATAGTTTTCCTCTCAACTGACAGCAAAATGGCTTCCTGTGGGCCACAATGACTGAATATTTCAAAACAAAATCGCTTTTTTTGTGTGTGATTCTTTTCTTTTTTACAATCTCCAGTCATTTACACCACAAAGACAATTGTGACTTTTAGCCCCTCAAGCAATATATGATACATAGTCTATATAAAATTGTTATGAACATTTTATGAACAGCATTTCTAGAGAGAAAAAAGTTTCCTAATTGACCCATATGTAGGGACACTGTTTTTTTTTTGCTGTGACTGCAAATGTATTTTTTTAATAATATGTAAGCTTTTTAACAAAAAAAAAAAAAATCGAAATGCAATGTGACAAATACATTTTCAAAGGTACAAATATCTCAGGTAATTAATGTAAGATTAACACAAATAAAAATACTAAAATTTTTACAAAGACTTTATTTTGTAATAAAAATAATCAATAAAACATCCCCCCAGAGCATATATCAAAATCTTCAGCAGAAAGGAAAATGTGTTCATTGTGTTGTCCGCGCGCGGTGAGAGAGAGTGAGGATCACGTGACTCGGGCTTTCTGTACTGTAGCCTCGGCTTGATTCTCTGAAAGAGGAAACGCTCCGCAGTCACTCCTCATTGGCATCTCTGAGTGGACAGAGCTCAAACATATTTGGTTTATTTACACTGCAGTTCATTAACAAACCTTGGCATCCGTTCATTTTTTTCATTCAAACCTTACAATTTCGCTATTGTAGCACTATTTCGCACAACAGCCATTAGGTACATCAACCAACCTTGCCTCGAAGACTTAGACCTGTCCCAGCATCATCTGAGTGAGATTCCACATAACTGACGGTAAGCCACATCACTTTATGATGCTTTATGCATATTTTCTGCAATGATGTTAAAGTTGCTTGTCTTATCCTTAACACCAAGCTGGAGCAGTTGAATTGATATGAGCTATGTGTTATATGTTATGTGAATGAACTGTTGTGCTGCATGTCATCAACCTGTCAGGTTAAGCTCAATGTTTAAATGCTTCCCCAAATATTCATTGACAAGTCTTTTATTTGGAGCTTTATTTAGTCTTTCCTTATAATTTAACTCGGACACTCGGTTGTTTGTTGCTGGTATGTGAAGTAGAATATTTCAGAAGCTAGCTTGCCATTAAAAATGAACCATGCTGCTTTTTTTGTGTACTGAGATGAGAGGAATTCTGAGAGAAGCGCTCAGAGGAAACTTGCTGTTTTGAGCCTGCCATTGTGATTCAGTCAAGTGTGTTCAGCATCTCTGCTTTATTAGAAGGGTTCAAGCTGTGATGATGATGCTTATCCCATTGTGTTAAAGGAATAGTATTGATTATATTCTCCCCCTCATGTGTTTCCAAACCTGTCTTGCTTTCGTGGACCACACAATTGGATGTTTTGCAAAATGTCTGAACTGCTTTTATATAATAAAAGTGAGTTGTGCTGTCAAGCTTCAAAAAGGACACAAAAAGCTATAAAAGTTCCATAGTATGATTGTCAAAGTGATGGCAAACATCATTAGTTCTCACATTTCTCTTGACAGATCGTGATGCATTTGATTGTTTTGCATTGAACTCAAGCACAGAAACAAATGAGTTTCGGGACTAACGAGGAAGAAGACTTTAGGCCTAAATCCTAAATTTTATGCCTCTTTCTCAGACAAAGCAATGTGACTTCAGAAGGCTTGAAATATAGTGGATTATAGACTACTTTTCTGGTGCTTTTTGTATTTTTTCTGGAGCCAGAAGAAAGAAGAAAAATTGGATTTGGAATGAGATTCTTTTCAAATTTGGGCGATTAGAAAGAATTCCTTTAAAAATGATTTAAAGGCGTAAACCAATTCAGATTCATTGCATTTTGGGGCATATTCAGTATTTAAGGGATAATTCACTCAACATTTTGTCATCACTTGTCATCACCCTCAAGCAAGTTGTTCCGAACCTGTGTGAATCTCTTTCTTCTGCTGAACACAAAATAAGATATTTTGAAGACTGTCTGTCGGTAACCAGACAGTTAATGGATCCCACTGACTTAGTAGGAAAGAAAATACTATGGAAGTCAATGGGGTACATCAACTGTTTGGTTACCAACATTCTTCAGAATATGTTTTGTGTTCAGAAAGAAATTCATACAGGTTTGTAACAACTTGAGGGTGAGTAAATGGTGACCGAATTTTAATTAAGTGAACTATTTCTTTAATACCTGTTCACATACAGTAACATTTCAAAAATCCAATCTAAAAGTATATCAGTGAGCTGTTCTGAGTACTGTCACTATAGCTTTTCTTCTAATGTGTAACTATAAGAAGTGACCGAATCTTACTTGAGCCTGCATGTAGTGAGACATACGATTGGTGTTTGTCCAATGCCCTCGTTCTTCCACCCCTTTATCGCCCGTGTTCACCCTCCCTTCTATCTCTTCAGTGTCTCTTATCTGCTTCCACCATTCCTCTCTGCCTCGCTCTCTCACCTTCTCCAGCTCTCTCTTGCTCACACTCTTTCATCCTCTGTTCCTCCAGTCCTCCCTCCTGTTTCTTTCCTTGCACTCTTTCTTTAACACCCTGCCTGTGGCTAACATTATTCTGCGGTCCGTCCATTTAAAGTGGTGGACAGCTGTCGAGATGCCACGGAGGAAAAGAGTTCCTGCAGCTATTTGCTGATTGTTGGCTTTTTCCCCATCTCACAAGTCTAATGACCCCGCAGCACTTTCCACTACAGAAAAATAACACTATTAGATTAGTCAGAGCGAGTGGAGGAGTATTGACTCTTCAGAGTAGCTGCTGGCCAAGGCTAAAAGTTCAATGCTGTTGTAGGTTTTAGGCCTGGTTATAGACGAGAAATAAATGGGTGAAAGGGCAAAGATAGGCTAGATGAGCTGAACGATAATTGAGCAGAATCTATGAGGAAGGGATAATGAGGCTTTTTAAACATGAAAGAGTTTCTTTGAGTGAACCTGAATGCTGTCCACTCAAAATCAGCCTCATGCAATAAAAAATACTGTGTCCATAAATGGGAATAAATGTTATATTTTTTGCAATGTGATGTGATGTGTGAATTCATCAGTGTATTTTGACATCAATCAATTGACATCAATCTAATTTGATGTGCTTTATTTACTTTGCATAAAGCAAAATAATCAATGATTTAGCTACTTTATGAAGTATTACAGAAAGTGTACATATATATTTGATTGTAATAAAGTATATACTGTATATAGGCCTATTGATAAGATTACATTTGATTGGAAATCAAAAACTTTGAAAAGTGACATTGGAAAGCGACAACAAAAGTTAAAATGTTAATACTATGGTATAAAACTTAAAAAAATATGTTGGCTAAAAAAAACAACAACAAAAAACGCAACAGTTGCACAGCTACTTGTTGAGCCCTGAACAAATTAATCATCTATTTCTGTTAAAACCCACGGTTGTCACATGCTATATTTAACTTATTTAGCATGTATATTTCATGAACAAGTATTAGTTGTTGTCACTGACTGGCATTAGCATTTCTTGTCAATGTAGTGTTGTCATGGCATTGGCAACATGTTTTTACATTACTTTAACTCATCAAAATAAATTAAGCAATTTAAACTTTTTTATTAGTTATACTTATATACAAGATTCAACTATTTAACTTTATAAATATAAATAGTCAGTTTATTATAATTTAAGTTGAAAAATTTAAGGCCGCGAATGAACTTATTTTTTTAAGTTGAATTAGATGGACATTTTTTTTACAGTGTACTGGAAAAGTTCTTCTAATTTGATATAAAATAAAATATTATGTAATTTCTAATGATATTTGTTGATGACTTAAGATAATGCCAGAGTGGTGTGTTTGATGAAGCATTGATTGTTAAGATAAGAGAGCCTGAAATGGGTCACTTTAAAAAGTCATGTGAAAAAAAAAAAATTGGATATGAGCAGCTTTATCTTATGGTATGAAAACAGGCAGAATTAGCTAAGATTTTTGTATATCACAGAAATGGTTTGAGGTGTTTATCATACACTGAACAAAATTATAAACACAACACTTTTGTTTTTGCCCCCATTTTTCTTGAGCTGAACTCAAAGATCTAAGACTTTTTCTATGTACACAAAAGGCCTATTTCTCTGAAATATTGTTCACAAATCTGTCTAAATGTTAGTGAGCACTTCGAAAACCAGTCAGAAAACCAGACGAAAACCAGTCAGTATCTGGTGTGACCACCATTTGCCTCACGCAGTGCAACACATCTCCTTTGCATAGAGTTGATCAGGTTGTTGATTGTGGCCTGTGGAATGTTGGTCCACTCCTCTTCAATGGCTGTGCGAAGTTGCTGGATATTGGCAGGACCTGGAACACGCTGTCGTATACGCCGATCCAGAGCATCCCAAACATGCTCAATGGGTGACATGTCCAGTGAGTATGCTGGCCAGGCAAGAACCGAGATGTTTTCAGCTTCCAGGAATTGTGTACAGATCCTTGCAACATGGGGCCGTGCATAGGGCTGCAACAAACGATTATTTTGATAATCGATTAATCTAGCGATTATTAGAACGATTAATCGACTAATCGTCGATTATTTCGCAGACTAATCAGTAAGTTTGGAACGATTATTCAGCTTTTCCAATTAGTTAAAACATTGAGTTATACATATTCTAACTATAATATAAAAAAATAAAATCACTTCAGCTTTTGAAATAGTTGTTTTAATGAACTTTGAGCCAACTAAACAGGTCATTCTCTTTAAGTTTTCAGATTTCGGTCCATCTCAAATCACACACAAATGCTCTCTAAGCATTGTTTAATAGGCCCACTGCTTTTCTTAGAACTGAAACAGAAAAAGGGACATTTACTTCAGGACACAAAGAATGGTAAAATATTAATCTGCAAACAATTATTATAAGAATAAAATTACAATCTTTTTTTACATGACAATTGAGCTGACAGAGATGTTCTCATTCACCTTTTAATTTATAGTATGATAAAGTAACTGCCATGATATTCTTCCTATATCATAGGAAAGATATAACATCTCGTTTTGTAAGTCTTCATGATTATTGAACAAAATACAGGCAAGTGATAAGACTATAATAATACCTAATATACTAATAGTGTTACAATAATAAAAACAGCCCTGACTCCTAAGCTCGATCAAGCTTTATTCTATGCAAAATAAGTCATCACATTACTGTAATTATATTACTATTGATAATATTATTACTATTACTAGTAGTATTGCATTCTCTAATAAAGAGAGATTTACCGCTGGTTAGTAAGCTCCAGCTGGAGAACACTCACTTCTCACCGGCTCCTCTTTTGCCGGGATGTTTCCTCTTGCACTCCAACATGCATGTTGTGCTCCCGTGAAAAGCAAGTTCCGCCTTGCATGTATTGAACACGACAGCATTCTTGATTTGAAGTTTTGTGAAACTTTCCCAAACCTAAACCTTGCAAGTTCGGATTCGTTTGCACTATCATAATTCGCGCTGTGTTTTCTTCTACCGCAATAGCATTTGTAAGGGCTGCACTACACTCTAGCGCTACAGCGCCGTAGCGGTCAAATCACGGGATTGCAGGCCCTTACATATGTGTCGACAAATATTTATTGTCGACGTTGTCGACAACGTCGACTAATCATTGCAGCCCTAGCCGTGCATTATCATGCTGCAACATGAGGTGATGGTCGTGGATGAATGGCACAACAATGGGCCTCAGGTTCTCGTCACGGTATCTCTGTGCATTCAAAATGCATTAATAAAATGCACCTGTGTTCGTTGTCCATAACATACGCCTGCCCATACCATAACCCCACCGCCAACATTGGCCTCTCGATCCACAACGT